ATATTAATGGATATATAATTTGTCAAATATTAAATATTACATTTTCATGGAATATTATTTTCATTATTTTAGTAATGGCTTTGAAAAAATTATGTAAGCTATATATAATTACATAGTAAGTGATAAAGTCAGAATATGAACTCCAAGCTGTCTGATTGCCCATTTCTTTAGCAAACATGTAATAATGAACTTCAATAACAATTATCAGAGTCCAGCGCACACACTGAGTTGATAAATGGCTTTTAAAGCCTTCTGAGATATAATGTGTAAAACAGTGACATACATTGTTATTTTCATGTTATTTGTCAATTTTAAATAGAGTCCTAAAAAGAAAAAACAAAATTATCACTGGTACAATAACTGTACAATAATTTTAAACTAAGATTATCAATGATAATTCATACTACAAATTTATGTACAATTATATACCTGGAATGGAAAGTATAATTTACCAAACACTTGCAAATGTCAATATAAACACTCTGAAAAAAAGCATAGGTGATACTCAGCACATAGCTTAAACAGACTCATTCAACTGAATCAAATCACTTCCTACAGTAACAGTATTTTTATTTGGATTTTTGAAGCATAAAATAAGCTGTTTTAAGTATAATATGTTGCCAGAGGGAGTATACCAAGCTTTTCTTTACAGCTTGTCTTGCATATAAAGAGTTCATATGCACAAAGTACGTTTTCCTGAAAAGATTTTTTTTGCATCTTTATGCTCTAAATCTTCAATTTAAATCCTTAAATACCAACAAATGCCCAAAGTACCTCAAAATCAGCATTTTAGTAGACTGGGACACCTGGATAACACTGAAAGACCATTGGAGTCACTGTCTTCTGTGGGTTAAGAGAGACCTTGGAAATTTGGATTATTCACTCAAAAGAGACAGGGAAAAAGCAAGTCAGCCAGAGTGGCTCAGGGGCTGACGGCTTGACTCCATCTGTCCTTTTCAGGCTGTACTGTGAGTATAAACAAGAGAAGAAAATTTTCTCAAATGACAAATGAAAGCCAGTTAGTCATTAACAAGAGCCAAAGTCATAGCTCCTGAAGTGAAGACTCGTCTTTCCCTAGAATTGAAAGTGACAGTAGTTATACAGCCATCTTTTCATTTTGTTCTCCTCTGGGGATAAATCTCTGAAGATGCTAAAAATTCAAATGTAAATTTACAAGCATCATGGAACTTCATTATTTCTGTAGTAGAAACTGAGCAATGCAATTCACAGGTATAAACAACCAAGTTTCCAAGAGTCTGTGAATTCTCAAGTGGTCAGTTGATTCTTTTGTTCTAACTGTGTGTTCACGAATAGCTCTGTAAGATTTGTTGAATATTTGCTATATATTTTCTAATATTTTTTTATTTTCTATTTGCTAATATTTTATGAAAATTGGTTCCACGTTTACTTTGATATTTATGATTTATAAGTACTACCAAGTTTTAAGTGTAAAATGCTAAGCCCACATTACTAATTAGTGAGTGAATATTGAATGATTGGATGTAGGCTTAGCATTTTATACTTAAAATATAAATATTCTGATTTATTAGTAAACGACATTAGATATTGTGCCAAAATATCAGCTTTTGAGTAGTACTCTTGGTGTGGTAGATCATGATGGAACACCAAAATCTTCAACCCAAAGACTCAGTCTCCCTCCGTTTATCTTGCTAATCCTAATTTCACAATTCCTACCCCACTTTTGATGGAGTGGGTTTACAGCTACTGGGATAACTATACACAACTGTCCTTCAGACCTACCTTTATGCCAACAAAACACTTTATACGTACGTTGAGTTAGGTGCTTTTAATATACTCATTTTCTTACATGAGAGAATAGAGACTGAAGAGAGTAAACAACTTTGGTGGTGGGACTCTGACCCCACTGTTGACTCCCACTTCCAATGCTGCCTACTGAAGTTACCACATGAATGCTTGACTCCTTCTCTGATGCCAAAAATCCACTAAGAAGTCCATCAGAGCATGCTCAATCCACATGTAAACACCTTCCAGACTTGGGCACAGCGTAAAAAAAAATGGAATCAGGAAATCAATGCATATTTATGAGTTCATTAATTTGCAGATGTAAAATTCTAGAGCCCGCTCTCTTGAGCTTCTCCCATGCTCCAGTTGAATTTGGTTGCTGTTGCTCCAGGAGAGATCGGGATTATACAACCAGGAAGTTGGGCTTTGGGGACAGGATGGGAGTGTCTTACTACCAAGAATATATAAGGAGAATGCTAAATTAAATAACCTGTTCAATCAAATACATATTCCTTATAATTTACAATACTTAAAGTTCACTAAATAAAAGTATAGAATCAGCATATGATGTGTTTATATAAGCAGATGTGAAACATAGAACAATGGTAATAAAGAAGAGAGAGGACAGAACACAGGGTAGAGAGAGGACAGAACACAGGGTAGAGTGAGGACAGAACACAGGGTAGAGAGAGGACAGAACACAGGGCAGAGTGAAGACAGAACACAGGGTAGAGAGGACAGAACACAGGGTAGAGAGAGGACAGAACACAGGATAGAGAAAGGACAGAACACAGGGCAGAGTGAGGACAGAACACAGGGTAGAGAGGACAGAACACAGGGTAGAGAGAGGACAGAACACAGGGCAGAATGAAGACAGAACACAGGGTAGAGAGAGGATGTAACACAGGATAGAGTGAGAATAGAACACAGAGTAGAGAGAGGACAGAACACAGGGTAGAGAGAGGACAGAACACTGGGCAGAGAGAGGGCAGAACACAGGGAAGAGTGAGGACAGAACACAGGGCAGAGAGAGGACAGAACACAGGGCAGAGAGAGGGCAGAACACAGGGTAGAGAGAGGACAGAACACAGGGCAGAGAGAGGACAGAACACAGCATAGAGAGAGGGCAGAACACAGGGCAGAGGACAGAACACAACGTAGAGAGAGAACAGAGCATGGTGTAGTGTGAACACAAGGGCTCAGGATCAATTTTTTAAATTATTTTTATTTATTTATTGTTTGTTTTTGAGTGCAATGCCTACATGTAAGTAGGTGCATCCATGTCATGCAGTGCCCACAGATGTCACCAGAGAGTGTTGGACTACCCTGGAACTGGTGTAACATAGAGTTATTAGCAGCCATTTCGGTGCTGGGATTCAAACCCCTGTCCTCTAGAAGGGTAGCCAGTGCTCTTAGCTGCTGAGCCATCTCTCCAGGTCCATCGAGATAGTTAGATTTTGTGTAATTTACTGTGTTACTAATAGAGGTAAAGTTTAAATAGTTGTGAACAAATACATTGTGAACATTCATTTTACAATCATTAGAAAGATTTATGCTTAAAAATGTCAATAAAAAGTTACAGTCAAATTTAGAAATAACCCATAATACAGTGGGAAATGTTAAGAGTGAAAACAAAAACCTGATTGAAAAGCAACATTATTCTTATTGAGAAAGTTTTACATGATTTTCCTCAGAGTTTGGGGAAAAGGTAAGGCATTGCTTTCATGCAATGGTATTGTTGAACAGTATCAAAGCATATATAGGAACAAATTTACATGCTTCTATGTAAGAGCTTACTAAACATTTTAAAGAGACATTAAAGAAGACTTAAGTGTTAAATAGATACACCATTTTTCATGAACTGGAAAACCCAATATCTTAATTACTCACTATATTCAATGTATTATAGTTCTAAATTCAACATGCAGGTTTTGTGTAAATTAAGGTGATTTTGCACAGATATATGAACCAACAGAATTAGTGAAAAAAAGATTTACAAAACAACAAAATTTGGGAATTTTGCATTCGATGGGTTTAAAACTTACCAAAACTCACTCCTGGCCTGCTCTCCTATCCTCAGGCCTCTTGGGGTGGGTCTATCGGGGAGCCCTCAGTGCCTTGACTCCCCCGGCCTCATTCGCCCTTCCATCTCCCCCGCTGTTCTCTGCTCCTGGTTTG